AGTCATGCTAAACATATTTCCTTGTTAACCGTGTTGCAAAAGAAAACACAGACCAAAAACAAACAAAAACAAAAACAAAAAGCCAAAACCCAAGAGAAAGAAAGAAAGTAAAGAAAAAGCCTGCTTTGATCTGCACTCCCACTCGTTGTGTTGTCTCTGCGGGGGGGGGGGGGGGGGGGGGGGGGGGGGGCAGCGCTTTTTATCATGAGTCCTTCCAGATTGTCTTGGATCACTGAATTGCTGAGAAGAGCTAAGTCATTCACAGCTGATCATTGTACAATATTGTACACTTCCTGGTAGAACTCGACATTTAAAAAATGTCAAAAACTTTTAAAAATGTAATTGAGAAAAAAATAAAAATTAAATGAAAATAAAAGTCCCACGACAGACAAGGGGAAGGTGTATCTTTATCCCGTGAAGGAATCTACTCATTTCTGGCCTACAGCATCACTGACTTCCAAGCAGGCAGGTGCTGGGCCTAGCCTCAGCTGGTGGCCAGCCTTCCGCTGATGGGTCTCAGGGCCTGGCTGAGCAGGCCTTCCCAATAGGCAGATGGCCCCTGGCCCAGGCTTCAGGAGCCCAGGAGAGTCACCTTGCAAAGCCTCTTCATAAAAGCTCCTTGACTTTTTGACTGCCTTTCCTCTTTTATGTACATAAGATAGGGCCTTTGGTGGAAGGCAGCTATAATGAGGAACACACAAGAAGGACCCAAGTGCATTCCTCCAGCTGTGGTCCAAAAGCCACCTGACCAGGACCAGGAGTTACTGCCAAGTCGGGGAAGCGGCATGCCCTGGACAAGAAGAGGCACACGCAGGACATCCCATTCTGCCCAGACTCTTTGCCCCCCAGATCCAGGCCCACTCTCATGCCCAAGTTAACCCTAGGTCGAAGCACCTTGAGCCACACCCAACACCTGGAGATTTCCGCCTCAGGGCACTGGCCTTGCCTTTGGGGGATAGTTTCCTCACAGCCAAGATATCTATTCTCCCTGACTCATCTACATCCCCTCATTAAGATCACTCTGGTCTCCTATGGGGCCACAGGAGAAAGGTTGTTGGGTGAGGACCCAGGTTCAAAGCCAGCCCACCTGGGATGCTCCCTCCCCATGGGGCCACTTCCTGGCCTCAGTTTCCTCAAGAAGGCTGGACTCGGGGGCTCTGAGGTCCTTCCGGCTCCAGATGCCTGGTCCCTTAGGCCTTGGTAAGGCAGCTAAGAGCGAAGTCACTATGTTGGGGGGGGTGGAATCGTGCCCTGGGTCTTGGTGGCTTTCTGGGGCCTGCTGGCCTTGGGGTCAGGAGAGACCCAGGCTCCAATCCTGGCTCTCACGCTTACTCGTGGGGGGTTGGGTTTCCCCAGTAGAAAGTGAGCTCCTTTGCATTGTCTTATCTACAGTGCCTAGCACGGAGCCTGGGACACACAATGCTCCTTGTTTGCTTTTTTAATTTTTATTTTGAATTTCACATTTTCTCCCTCCACCCACTCCTCCCCCCCCATTGGAGGGCTAGAAATATAACACCCTTTATACATACACAGTCATACAAAACATACGTCCACACTAGCCATAATAAATGCTTATTGATTAACTGGAATGATTCAGTGGCATTGGCAGGTGACTTTGAATTCCAAGCCTCAATTTCCCTGTCTTTCACTACACGCCTCCCAAGGGCTGTTGGGAGGAAAGTACTTATCATACCTTACAGTACAATTAAGTGTGAACATACAAGAGACATTTCTTTTTTACAATAAGTTTTTATTGCTATCCTCAATTTTTACTTTGCCTCAATTTCCTCCTGTCTTCCCCATCCCCTCTCTCCCAGAAACTCATCCCATATGACAACGAATTTTTATAAGAAAAAAGGTGGGGGGAAGGGGACAAACGCCAAACAGCACTGAATCCACCCAAACAGGATGCCCTGCCGTCCCACCTCTCCAAAGGGCAGGTGGCTTTGCACCTTCCTTTTCTGGGCATTTCACAACCCTCATTTTCTATTGTTTTGGTCCATCCTGTCCTCTGACCTGGAAGTAAGAAGGTACTAAGTGCTTGTGTTAGAATGAACATCAGAGGCCACAGCTTTGCTGATATGTGCATGCAAAGGCTGAGGATTGCTGGAGGGACCGGAATAACTGGAGTCTGCTAGAGTTGCTCTGGGAAGATTGGCAGCAGAGACAAGCCTGCGTTTAGGAGGAGACGAGGACTATGTCATTTCAGTGATGCGGAGGGCAGTGACCTGAGTGTGGCCATGAGAATTCAGGGCAAGGAGATTTGCTCTGCCCGGGGCTCCACCTGGCCCCTTCATTTTTCAGATGAGGAAACTGAGGCCCAAGAAGGTTTAGGACTCACGGTCACACAGATACTAAGTGGGTCCGCCTGCCACAAATCAAGCTAGAAAGCGATGGAAAGCACAAGGAACCCAGCCCTAACCCATATTTCTTCAACCTTGTGAGGATGCTGAATAGAGATCTCCGCAGGAAGGAAGACGCAGCTTGGGGTCAGGGAGAGAGTGTGAAACCAGTCTGGCTTTGTACTTCCTCAAGGAGCCATCCGGCTAATTGGTGTGGCTGTGAAGACTAATATAGCTAGCATTTATACGGCTCTTAGAAGTTTGGAAAGCTCTTGACAAAAATAATTTCATTTAATCTTCACAACAAATCTTACGGAGTACGTAAGATTAGTCCCATTCTACAGATGAGGAAACTGAGAAAAAAAAGACATGCCCGGGGCCACACAGCTAGTAAGTGTCTGAGGCCAGGTTTGAGCTCGGGTCCATCCTGACTCCAGCACTAGGGCTTTATCTACTTCACCATTCCTCTGCCTCCTGGAAATGAATGTCTTCATCTCAGCCTAAATATGGAGCCAGTCTGAAGGAATTCCTGATAAGACAATTGGATGAGGATTTTGACCAGAGGGGCATTTTTCTGTGCTGGGCCATTGGCTGGGATTAGCCTGTGGGACCGTCAGGATGCTCCTGTCTTTGAGGAAGGAGCCCCAGGTCCTTGGGTTCAGAGCAGATGTCAGCACATGCTGGGCTGTGAATGAAGGGTGTTCAGCCCTGGCCCTCACCCCCTTGCGGCACACGCTGGGGGGACATTCTCTTGTTATGTATGATGTCATTCTGCTTTAAGGGAACATTTTGCTGTTTGATTTATGGTTTCTGGTCTGACTCATGGTTCATATTCCTGGCTGCTGACCTGGGCCAAGAATTAGATGGGGGGCTCGAGCCTTCTCTGTGCAATCATGAATTCCTCAAATGGCTCCACTGTACTTGGGAGAGGGAGACAGGATGGGCCCCAGATAAGGAGACTGCCTGCTTCGCACAAAGCGTGGAGAATTCTCAGGGAGCTTCTGCCATGAAAAATGAGGCCAAAGGCTGACCAGGGAAGGAGTCTCTGAGAAGAGCAGGTCCTGTCCAACTTCAGTGGGAGTGGGGTAAAAGGGAAAGAGGCAGTGACCCCTGGCTCTGGAAGAGAGGGGAAGGAGCCGAGGACCTCTAAAGGCACTGGGTTCCCCCTCACAGAATGGCTGTGTTTTTTGGGGGGTTGTCCCTGGGACAACCCACCCAGGTCTATATTCCTGGAGTCTTTATAATGAGGGAGGCAGCCCTGGGAAGTGTTCCCAGCTTTGGTAGATAGTGATGCCCCAGAGGGAAGTGAGCTGGGGCTGCTGACTGACTCGTGATTCCTGGTCCCGTGGTGAGCCTACAGCTCTGCCCACAAGAGCCCTTTCCTCTTCAGACAAAGGCCCTCATGCAGACCAGGGCAACAGGGAGATGAAAGGAGGGCAGGGCCACCAGAGAGGGGCTTGTGAAATCTTCTAATGCTTTGTCAAACACAGAGGGGGATGAGGACCTTTGACTGAAGAGCTAACAGGCTTCCTGTTCTTCAAAGGGATGAAGGGCATGGTGGAGGGGACGAAGGCCAGGCCCCCTCCTTTCTGGAGGTGACTCACAAGCGCCAGCTGGGATGGCTGAGGGGAGCCGTGTTGGCTGGACTGCAGACGCCCAGCCTCCTGGGAAGTCTGTGTGGGGCAGAACTCACGGTGCCTGAAAGGGCAGGAAAAGTCAGAAAGCCAAAACCCAGCCCCATTTTGCTACTGTTGGGGATTTTTGGGTGTTCTTTTTAGAGCTGACAGGAACCTCGGCCGGCTGTCTTACTTTAGGGCTAGGAAAACTGAGACTTGGAGGGGGGAAGGGACTGGCCCATGGATCCACTGAGGCAAGATTTGAACCCCCCCACCTGTTCCCCCAATCCAGAGCTCAAGTGTTCTGAGCACCAGAAATGGGTCTGGTTTTATCGGGAATGAGAGAAAAGGCACTCTCCTTGGTTCTGCCACCGCACTCCCCCCCAAGGACCCTGGGCCCTTTCCCTGCAGCTGACCCCCCCTGTACTCAGTGTCTCCAGAGCAGGGACTGTCTCGCTTTTTCTTTCACAGCCTCAGCGTTCTGGGCAATGCTCAGTGAGTCCCATCCCCACACCTGAGGCCCTCGGGGTTTAAAGCACCATGTAAATGGCGGCCGGGGCATTTCGGCCATGGGTCATTTCCACTGCATGGTGTACCCCACTGACTGTTTTCTCATTTCCCTCAGCAAGTTTCCCTGTCTTTAGAGCCCTGGGCTTGGTATTCCTGAATTCAGACCCAGCCTCAGATTTACTAGCCGTGTGACCCTGGGCAAGTCACTTAACCTCTGCCTGCCTCAGTCTCCTCATCTGTCAGATGAGGTGCAGGGGGAAATGGCAAACCACTCAGGTATCTCTGCCAAGAAAACCCCGAATGCAGCAAGGAAGAGCTGGGCACGGCTGAAATGGCTGAACGAGTCTTTCTGTGAGACGCCATCTGGCCCGAGATCGAGATCCCTGAGCCAATTCCCGAGGATGGGGCACCCCCTTTATTCCTGGCTCTTCATGACCACAAAAACGCTGCCATGAATATCTGCATCATCCCGACACCTGAGTCACTGATTCACAGACACCCCCCACTCGTACGCACAACAAAGACACCAGAGTCAATCCAGAGGTAAGGTTTATTGTGGGGTGGGGGTGCACCCCAGGCACCACAGCCTTGCTGCACCATGGGCGAGACCCTGAGGGCCCTGCCCCCTCTGGCCGCTTTCTTTCCCAGGAGCTGGAGGACCACTGTCAGGGTGAGCATGGTACCATTCCCCTGAAGGAGGGAAGCGTGGTGAACTGATACCCTTCTGGGACGTGCGGTGAGGAACCCACCCATGGGATGCCCCTCAGGCAGGGCCCCCTGCAAGGGGCCATCCCGTTCCCTGGAGACACTGTAGGCATGGGGAAGGGTCTTCAAAGTCTTCACCCTGTGGCCTGTGCCTCTCTGGGCCTGCATCAAGCTGCAGTTTCTCCCCATCGGGCTTTGAAATCGAGTTCTGCTCTAGTTTTCAGCCAACGGGCCACGCGCCCCAACTTAAATGCCTGGATCTGGTCCCGCAGGAGGCGCCTGCAGTGCCCCAGGATTGCGGGTCCTTCTCCAGGTGGGGGGAGTGCAGCGGCAGAACCAAGGAGAATGCGGGTCCTCCAGCCAGGCCCCGGGGTGACGCCACGGTCACCACACAAAGGACACAACTTTTCTGTACACAGAATCCCATGGGCCGAGCGTTTTATTCAGGAATAACGATAAAAAGGCAGACAGAACCTGGCCCTCACTTGCAGTATCTGTCAGCTTTCAACTTGACTCTCCTGTTTAAACAAACAGAAACAGAACCAAGCAAAGGTAAGTGCCCCCTGCCTGTGACAGACGGCCCGGGTCCCAGAAGCTGCAGCCTCAGTGTCCTCCGCTGTCGCACGAGGCTCTGCACAAGGCCTCCTCCAGCCCTAAGACGGCCTCCCGCTTGCTAGAGAGGGGTGGTTATCTCCTGCTCTATGGCACCCGGCTGCCTAGGCTTGGTCCTTGGGACTCGGCGGGAGGCTAGAGGGCCTGGGAGCTGGCAGAGCCCTGCAGGGGCCAGCCTCACTCTCCAGGACTGTGGCAAACTGAACCTGAACCTCATTCTACAAGAGTGAGCCATGCGAGAAGGCAGCAGCATTGCCAGATGAAGCCACGCCTGCTGGGGGATGCTGCCCTCGCTCAGGGAGGAGCGAGGGGGCCCCGCGGCAGGACGCCCTTCCCCAGGCCGCAGCCCGTTCCACATTATGTTCTCACTTCAAAATACGGGAACGACAGAGTCTCTCGGTGAGATGAGAGGCAGCCGAACCCGGCAGAAAACGTGGGTCTGGGGTGGGAGCCCCAGCAGGCAGCCCTGACCCGGCTGACCTCACCTACAGAACAGGGAGGGGCCGGAAACAAGCCAGGCCCTATCTCACTGTCCCCTCCCTCCAGCCCCCTCCCCTGGGGCCTGAGGTCATTCACAGGAGCCGCCCTTCTCCCCTCCAGCTCCACCTGCCACCAGACAGCCCCCCCACCGCGTCCCAGGAAGAGGTGAGCAGGAACCCTCCAGGGGCGTCTCCTAAACCTCCCCCCTCTTCAGCCTGGGGCTCCCCAGCCCTCTGAAAGGAGCCCACACAGCAGCCCGGGTCCTCCCCATCCCGCTGGGGGACAGTGTAAGGCCTGGGGGGGGGCCTCTGAGAGGCAAGGCTCAGACACCACATACTCCCCGGTCCACAGAGAAGCACTGGGATTCTAGGAGCCTAGGTCTGTAGCTGGAGGGGCCTTCAAGGCCTTCACTTCACAGAGCAGGGAACCAAGGCCTAGGGAAGGGAAGTCAGGTGGGACTGGACCCAGAGCCTCTGACTCCAAGCCCGCTGTGGCAGGCTGCTTCTCACTGCACGGAAGTTGGCAACAAATAGGAAGACGTGAGGATTCAGAAAGTTTTCCTTCCCTGGACCCAATACGAATCCATGGGAATGGAAAGAAACCCCCATTTTAAAAGCGTGATTCCCTTACGCCCATTCACCCTCTTCTGTATCACCAGGATGGGACAGAAGAGCCAGAAGGGCGGCGAGGGATGCCCAGGCTGGGACGGCGCGGAGGGAGGGGCCAGCCTGAGACCAGGGGATCACAGGGGGAGCAGAGGTTGTCTCTGGTCAGAGCGCTGTCTGTGGGTGGGAATGACTCTGTGTGTGTGTGTGTGTGTGTGTGTGTGTGTGTGTGTGTGTGTGTGTGTGTGTGTGTGTTGTGTATGCCTGCATGCCTGTGTGTGTATGGCGTATGTGTGTTATGTGCATGCGTGTGTACCCACATTTGTGCCTGAATATGTGTGCAGGTTATAAAAATGCACGACTGTATACACGTTTGAGTGTGTGTGTGTACGTGTGTCAGGTGTACAAGTGTGCATCTGAATATGTGCATGCAGGGTATACAAGTGTGCGGCTGTACACGTTTCAGTGTGTGTGCACATGGGGGGGGCAGCCTGGGTGGTGCCTTCTTTGCTCTCTCCGGACTTGAGCGTTTTGTACTGGGTTCACAAGCATGACGAATATGGAGATAGGAAAACTGAATCTAAAAATGGCGCCTCCGGAGGCTGGATTTGAACTCAGCGTGCAAAGGAAGGCCAAAGACTCACCTGTCCAGGAGCGTCTCGTGAAAAAGTCCATCTTTCCGGGCCTTCTTCAGCGCTCTGCTGTCTTCTTTGCTTACTTTAAGTTTGTGGTCTTGGAAACTCTGGAATTTCTTTCTGTTAAGAAAAACCACGTTAAACCAAACCATATAATAATAATAATGATGACGATGATGACGCCAAGCCCTTCACTTGTGTTATCATCACCTGTGATCCTCCCTACAAGTCTGGCAGGAAGTCTGCATTCTTATACCCATTGCACAGAGGAAAAAAAAGAGGCAAAGGTTCGTTGCCTTGCCCAGGGTCACACAGCTAAGTGAGGCATGGCACAGGCTGGATCTGAACTCAGGCCCCACGCTCTACCCACTGCACCACTCAGTGTGGATGAGGCCCTGGGAGCCCAAGGCCCAACAGGTGTTCGCAGCAGGGCAGGCGTCAGCATCGGACGCCAGCAGTGGTCTCTTCTGGCCAAAGACACGATGCTGGGCACCTTTTTTTGGCCACGGTGGCTTTGAGTTCCCAGGCAGGGGAGGGGGCACTATCTGTACCAGCGGAGAGTGTGGAGGCACATGTCCTGATCCAGTCCTCACCCTACCACAGGCTGGAGAAAAGCCAGGAGGTGTGGGAGTTTTGCTTCTTCACTTCTGCTGATAGCGGTTTTCTTCCTGTCACCTTCCGCACCCCCTCCCGTCCTGCTAACCCCCCCCCCCCGAGACTCATCCTACACCAGCATTGGAGGAGTGGCCCTGACTCCTGGAATCTTGATGGCCTGGTGAGATGTCTCCTGGGGTGGAGACAGATCTCTCCCCGCCCCCCTGGGCCGGAGCACCAGACAGATGCCTGGCACTGTGGCCTGCCCAGGCTCAGACCTAGCTCCTCTTTGGGGGGGGGGGGGTTTCCAGGGCCTAATCCATCCCTGAAATGGTTTCCTTTGAAAGACTGCTGAGAAGTTAACAACCGGGGGGAGAAGACGGAAATCAGCAGTGAGGGCCAAGGGCCCACTCAGGAGGAATCCCTCTGCTGCCCCAGACCAGAGGCCACACGGGAATGAGGAACCGGCTCCCGAGCGGGGAGGGCCGTGGGGCCCACAGGGCACTCCCTGCTGCCCCTCGGCACCTGCCTGCCGCACCCCTGGGCTCTGCTCGCCACCCTGCCCGCCTGTCCAGGACCGCACACTGGAGCGGAAGCTCCCTGCGGGCAAGGCCCGCCCTTGTATCTGACTCTTCCACACCAACACAGCTGCTCAATGGATGCTTCTCCCTTCTTCTCTGCCCCCTCCCCTCTCTTCTCCCTCCGAGTTTTCTAGGTTATTTACAAACATGCTGAACGGAGTGAAAGCTGCTAACTTGGACACTCCAGAAAGCAGACCTTGAGCCTGGCCACGCGTGAGATGGAAGACAGGACCAGGATCCCGCCCACTTCAGTTCTGGATGGAGGGCCCTTCGGGTGCTCGCTGGGGGAAGTCGAGGGTGACCTCCCTCAGAATCAGGGTTTGGAAGAAGTGAAGGAAAGGCTGGACATCAGCCTGATGTGAGGGGAAGCTAAGGCACTGTGATCCCCCACCCAGGTGCACGGACCCCTCGACATCTACCCGTGAAGGGCCCATGAAGCCGGTTACTGACCAAGCGACATGCCAACAGTCACTAGACTCAGAGCTGGGCCCTGGCTAAGCCCCCTCACTGAGGCAGACTGGACCAAAGGCCACTGGGTCCTTCCTGGTTCTAAAGCCTCTGACCCAACAGGCTTTGGTCAGGAGGTGTCAGGATCCCAGGAAGCATGACCATGTTGTGAAGTGAAGATATCCCCTGACCTTGTCCAGAGAAGGGGCCACAACCACCTGACTTAAGTGTCACACTGCAGCCTCCAACGGGTACGGGGGGGGCACCAGTGTGTCTTGGCGGGTCGTCCCCCAGGGTGAAATACTACGAGAGCCTGGCTCTGGGAAACACAAGCCACTTTCTGGGGCAGACCTGGCACAGATATTATTCCTTCAGTGGCCCAGCTGGGGCTGTTTTCAGGGCTCTCTTTCCTAGAACTTCAACTCTACGGCTTCCTTTCTCCACCCCCCCAACCCCAAATGGGGCATCCAAAAAAGCTCCTTGAGGAAACAGATGTCCGCTGGGAATGTGTCAGAGGAGAGTAGAATCCGCCACCCACCCACCCACCCCTCCATCAGATGCCCATTCACCTCTCCACCTGTGCACCCCATGCAGGACACTCACACGTAGTTGATTTCACATTGCTTCACGTTTCCTTTGTCTTCTTCAGGAATGTCGTCTTTCTTCTTGGTTTCTCTTTCCGCACAAGAGCGAATCTAGAGGTCGGGGTTTGGAGGAGAATGAAGCAGGGCACGTGTTATTCTTAACAACTTGAGGAGACCCCCTCAATAACAAGCAAGGAAAGGATCAAGTCCCTCAGTAACAGGGCCTACAAGGGAGTGCCCCCTCTACAGAAAGGACGGCCACGTAAACACGCCTGCCGACAACTGCAAGAGTGGAGAGAGAAGGCTCCTGGAGGGCACCAGGGGGAGGCGGGTGGATGGGAGCTGCTGCACGGGCCTCACTGCATGGAGGGGTCAGAGGGATGAGGCCCCTGGAGCCAGCCGGCTGCTAACTCTGTGGATACAGCCAGGCGGCACCCCAGGGCCCAGCACCAGGCTGGAGGAAGGAGGATCCGAGTCCAAATCTAGCCTCAGGCACTGAAGAGCTGGCTGACCCTGGGCAAGGTGCTTGTCTCTGCCTGCCTCAGCTTGCTCATCTGGGCAACAGGGGTCAGAAGAGGATCCAAGGAGACCCCATTTGCACAGCGCTTCGCCTGAGGCCTGGCATGCAGCAGGTGCTACATAAATGCTCGTTTCCTTCCTGGAGGAAATACTGGCCCCTTCAAAAAGGGGTCCCTCGATGAAACAACCAAGACCACTTTGCTATCCCAAGCAGAGGGAGCAGAACGGATGAGGCCTGAGCAGGACAGAGCTGTGTGCTTGCCAAGGTCTGCCACCATCCTGGAGGCCTTCTGGGGCAGAGTCCAGCTGAGGAAGGAGCGCTGCCTCCACCAGGGCCGCCGGCTCCACAGGAGCTGGCCTAATCCTCCATACCCCCCGAACAGACCTGAGCAGACAGATGAAGGCTGCCTGGTGACCACGTGATGGAGCCGGCCCATCGGCCTGTGTACGGCAGGCAGCCCTCGCAGCGGAGGAGGAGCTGCACTGAGACCCGAACGGGAGCTCATGTGGTGCTGTCAGTAGTCCCAAGGCTATCCCTGAAACTAAAATCCGTCTTTTTTCACATCAGTATTCTTTTGAAGGGGGCAGCTGGGTGGTGCAGTGGACGGAGCGCCAGGCCTGGAAGCCTCAGGAAGCCTCCTCTCCCCTAAGCTCCAATCTGGCCTCAGATACTTTCTAGCTGTGTGATCCTGGGCAAGTCACTTCACCCTGCTTGCCTCAGTTTCCTCATCTGTAAAATGAGCTGGAGAAGGAAATGACAAACCACTCCAGTATCTCTGCCAAGAAAACCTCAGACAAAGGCACAGAGAGTCAGACAGGCCTGAAAAACAACTAAACAAAAACCACGCATTCTTCTGAAGACGCCATGTGGCCGTGAGGCGCCGAATAGACAAAGAATAGAATGTGCCAGTCCCCAGGGAGTCTAATGGGGGGGCTGCACACCCCCGACAGAGAACCACGCTTGTGGAACCGGCTAAGAGACAACCTTCAAGAACGTCTGGGTAAGGAGAGGAGACTGACACAGTCAGAACAAGGGATGCCAGGTGGCAGACAGAGGGCACAAATGGATGGCCCGCTAGTACCCAGGTAACGTCGAGAGACCCTGACGTTCCCAGGTACTGGAGAGTGGCTGTGGCCAGGCACGAGAAGGCACTTGTGACACGAGCTCTGTGCCCCAAAGGGAGGACGCCCGGGGACAGTCACAGCCCCTCCCCCGAGCTGCTGCGGCGTGACTACCTTGATCATTTCTTCCTCCCCTGCAGTCTTGCTCTTGGCCTCTATGTCACCTTCTTCATTGCATCTGATAAAGCAGCTGTTTGAAGCCAGCAAAGCCATCTTCCCCTGGGTTAGAAAAAAAAAGTAACTTGGCTAAGGGTAAGTGGTCCAAGGATAGGAACAAAATTTTAAAAGACTTGAAAACTGTCATCAGCCATGTGAAAACTGCTCTAAATCACTGAAGAGAAAAAAGGTATAAGCTTCCACTTGACACCCAGTAAATAAACGCCAAAGTGGCAAAAACCAGGAATCCTCCATATTGGGGCTTTGGGAAGACAGGTCCATTTATACATAGTTGGTAGACCTGTTGATTGGCCTCTTCATTCACTAAATTGTCCGTGTCCTTTGACCCAGAGATCTCACTGCCAGGCACGTGTCCCAAGAAGGTCAAAGACCAGAAGAAAGGCCCCACGTATACCAAAACAGTCAGAATTCTACCTACAGAAGCAGTAAGAGACAGATACCAAGCGGGCAGGTGCCTGTCAATGACAGAATGGCTGGAAACACTTCAGGGAAACTGAAATTATTGCACTGAAAGAAACGAGAGCCATGAGGAATTTAGAGAAACCCAGTAAGATATGTATGAACATGTAAAGAAATGGAAAAGAACAGAGCCAGGAAACCACTACGCCCAACGTTTATGATGCTGTCAGTGAGACGCCGGAGAAAGTGTAGCCAAAGGCTGAGTCACTGATGGCGAGCAAACGCACCTCCCTCGGGTACGAGGAGGGCCTCATGGGCTGGAAGATGTGGGGCAACGCTCGCACAGTCAGATGTGGTCACTGCATGAACCGGGAAGAGAGGGCTCAGCAGGTGGGACACACCTAGGAACGACAGGGATATGAAAACCAAAGGGTATTCACGAGATTCAAAGTCACTTTACTGGAGAATTCACCGAACGAGAGACATGCATCAGAGTCACGATGGATACAACAATGAATCACTGGCCTGTCAAAGCCCGCTGCCCTCCCTGGCACTCACAGCCAGCACCGCCACTCACGTCCTGAAAGACCGGCTCCCACTGCTCCCGGGGTCCTATCGCATCGGATCGCCCCACAACCAGGCCGTCTGAATTTATGCCAAGGTACTTCCCGTAGCCGGACTTGAGGGCAATTCTTTAAGAAAACCAACAGGAAAGGGCAGTCAGGCCCAGCTTCTGCGCCCCCTCATGCCTCCCTTCCCGAGGATAGGGCCTGGGCCTGCCATCTGGGGATCCCCACCAATGCCTAGCCCAGGGGAACCACAGAAAGCCTGTCTGTGGGGTCCTCGACAGGACGAACACCCCTCTCCCTGCACTGTGGTGGTCCACATTACCTGGAATCAGACAGCTTGACCGCCGTGAGCTGCTCAGGGGGGCTGGGGCCCTCATCATCTAGAAAACAGAAGCATTGACAAGAGACGGGCCACTGGGACAAAGCCACCCTCCCTCCTGGACGATCCCAGGGAGAGGGATGGAGGCTCGGCAGGGACGCCACCCTGGCCTGGCCAGTTTTCTTACGGCATTGCCGCCATGGATCCTTTGCTGACCCTCCCCGCTTTCTCGCTCCAGCCCTCTGGGCCGGGTCCCTCAAGGAAGCACTGACCGAGGAGCTGCTCAGCACAAGGGCCTCCAGGCCCAGGCGTGGCTCCGGCTGCCCCCAGAGCGGGGCTCACTCCATGAGCCGCTGTTCTGTGACTGCCCTCCCAGGGCCCTGAGTCGGCCCATACCTTCACTTCACAGAGGGGCCAATCGAGGCTGGCCCCCAGTTACCCAGGGACCAAGGGCAGAGCTGGGATTTGTACTTGGGTCCTGTTCCTCTCCAGTTGGTGCTGTCTTCCCTCTCCTCCCTCCATTATTAATCCCTGCTTACCAACTTAAGTCCCTCCCAGTCCCTTGGCTAGGCCATACCCTGCCAGGCTCCTTCCAATGCCTGCCCAGCCCCCTTGGCATCAAAGACCCCTCCCTAATACTTTGTGGCAGCCAGAGCCAGCCTCCTTCTGGTGGCTAGGATCACAGCAGATGGCACTCAGGAAGATCCGAGTTCAAATCCAGCCTCAGACACTTACTGGCAGTGAGACCCTGGGCCAGTCCTTAGCCACGCTCTGCCTTATGATAACACTGAAGAGGGCCCCCAGATCGATCTAGTCTGGATCTTCAAGGCAGCCTTAGTATCCCCATCTTACAGTTGAAGAAACAAGGCAGACGGAGGTGAAGTGACCAGTCTGAGGTCACACATGCAGTAAGACTGAGGCCAAATTTGAACCCAGGGCCTCCTGCCTCACAGTGTGCCCATCCTCTGCCTGTGGGCCTACAGCCCAACCTGAGGGCCTTCATTCATTCGTTCACTCCTTCAGTCATTCATTCATTCACTCACTCGTTCATTCATTCTCATTCATTCACTCACTCATTCATTCACTCCCTCATTCACTCACTCATTCGCTCATTCATTCACTCAGTTACTCACTCATTTACTCATGCATTCACTCGGTCACTCATTCATTCATTCGTTCATTCACTCACTCACCTGCTGGTTCACTCACTCATTCATTCACTCACTCCTTCACTCCCAGGCTTGCGGCTAGCACCTTCTCTATGGGGCGCTCCCAGAGTGAAGAGGCCGTTGTCCAGGGCGTGGACGTAGGTTCCTTTGTCCATCTCGATCGCGATGGTTCCGGAAATCTCCCCCAAGTTTCTGACCGCCCACCAGTTTCCTAAAAATCAAAAGAAACAAGTCCTCTCGCTTCCTCGGACCGCGCCCCGGGGCCCGCTGACCGCTGTGCAGGGGTGGGGGGGGAGAGCCCCGGGCCCCCGGACTCACCCACGCAGTCCAGCTGCGCCTCCTCCTCCTCGTCCCCCCGCCTCCTCTTCTCCGCGCTCTTCTTCTTCTTGCTGTAAGACACGAGGCCCGTGACGGCCGCGCGATGTCAGAGGCAAAGAGGGCACCTGGGGCTCCCCGGGCCGGGGTCAGGGCGGGAGATGGGCAGCCGCGGGGATGACGCAGGGGGAGGGGTCGGGGGCGGCCCAAGAGTGGCCAACCCCCCATGAGCCGCTCCTCTGGGGCGCATGCGCACAGCTAGCGCGAGCGCCTGCCGGCCAGGACAGGAACACGCAGGCCCACCCCCTGCCGGCTGCTGACGCCCTCGGTCCCGGGAGCTCCTCAGAGCTCGGAGGAACAGGGTCGGTGGGTGACGTCACGACCCCGCCTCCAGCCGGGCCTCTCTCCCGTAGCGCCCGCTCCATTCCTCCTCCCCCTCCCCCTGCAGCCGCCCTCGCCCCAGCCTGGACGGGGGGGGGGGGGAGGGCTCGTAGGACCTGCTCTGCCCAGTCCGGCCCCGCCCGGCCTCACCTCTTGGCCTTCGTGCCCTTCAGCACCAGCTTGGTGGACTTGACGGAAGCGTACTCGGCCATGGCGGCGGACACCGAGGGCAGCCGACACCGAGGGCTCCGGAGCGCGTCAAAACTACCGCGAACTCGCTGCGGCGAGTCCCGCCTCCCTTTTGTTGCGCAGGCGCAAGCAACACTTCCGGTGCGTCTCGCGCTTCCGGCCCGGCCTGGAGCTACGGCGGCCGCGGAGGCCCGGAATACGTCGCGAGGAGGTTTTTCCGACCCGGCCCTGCTCAGGGCGCCTGGGGAGGGGGACCTGCGGCAGCGTTACCGGCTTTACAGCAGCCCCCTCTACAGGAGTAGTGTGGTACCGCCTCCATTTTAGAGTGGAGGAAACTGAGGCAACCTCAGAGAAGCTACTCTCTAAGACCATGGGATGCCTAGAAGAGGCCCATCTGCGTTAGTGGAGGGAGCTTCCTCACTGGGAGGTCCCCGCACCACCCAAGTCCCAGGTTCAGTTCTCATCCTGAGATCCAGCACACGCTTGCTTGAGGAATGTAAGCCCCTTGAGGGCAGGGCTGCCCCCCCATAGTATACAGCTGGTGCTTAATAAATGCTTGTGGATGCCTTTGAGGGGTGCTTTCTGTCTTGTGCCCCTGGAGTGAGTAGAGCCTCCCTCCCTCTGATGCCCCAGGACTGCTAAGAGGTGGAAGAGGCGCCTGCCCTCAGGGAGCTTCCAGTCAACTGGGTATCAGAAGGAAGGTGGGGGCGGGGCATGGGAAGAGCTCCGAGTAGTCGGGCCTAAGGGCAGCTGGCAGGGAGAGTGTGTGAGACACGCGTGAGACACGTGTGCTCATGTAGACACACACACACCCATGCACACACATATGCCCATGTCATACACATGCATGTGCTCTTATACAGACACACTCATAATACACACATTCGCACACAATACGCTCGTAATATACACACTCATAGGTATGCATACTCACATACACATATATACATTCATACACATGTATACACAGGCCTATGATATACACATGTATGTACGCATACAGTACACATTCATACACACGCACATACAGACACACTCAATGCACACATGCTCACACTCATACACACATACACATTCATAATACACACAGGCTCACACTCATAATGCATACATACACTAACACTTAATATACACATACACAATCAACACACATACACACAATACACACATACACTCATACGCTCACACTTATAACAGACGCACTACACACACACGTACATACATAATACACACATGCACCCTCATAATACACACATACACTCATATATGCTCACACTTATAACATGCGCTATGCACACACTCATGTACACACATCATACACACACACTCATAATACACACATATGCTCACACTTGTAATACACACATATGCTCACACTCGTAATACACACATGCACACTCATAATATACACATGCACCTGGAGACCCAGCCTGTGTTGGAATGGCAGTTGAGAGAGCAGCCCCAGTGTATGTCTACACCTCTGGCCCTCCTCGCATACATTTCTGATATTCTGATGAGCTATCTCCCTCGTGTTGGGCTAAAATCCAGCAGGACTGTCTCTTGGGAAGCTTGGATCCTCCTCTTGGAACACATCTCGGCATGGTGTTGCTGGAGCCACTGGAGGGGTGGAGCCCTGACCACAAGGCTATGACTGGAGCAGCCAGTGTCATCAGGAACACGAGGAAAAACCTCAGGAGTCCCAGAGTCACAGACGGTCAGGACTGGGAGGGGCCTCCTCCAACCCCAGACAACCCTGGCCAAGAGAAGGTCAATGTTCTCCTTTACGGCTACGCTATTTGTGAGTTCTTTTTGTAGCTTCTGCCTCCAGAAATGCCAGATTCTCTCTTCTCTTGCTCAGAACTCAGCCTGGCTATCCCTTTGGACCCCACGCTCCGCTGGGTGCCACCATGCGCTTCTGCTTCAAGAAAATGATGGCAGATGGGGAAAGGCTCAGCCACAAGGTGTGAAGATCTCATGTAAGAAAACCTTATCTCTCCTTGCTGTTCTCCGGAGTTCTGCCTTCAGTCGGGCAGATCTTTCCCTTCCTCCTTTCCCTTTCCTTCTTTCTCTACCTATCTGTAAAGCCTCGTCAGACCGCCATTTTGCTTTCTTGCTCTTCTTTTTCTTTGGGACGTTCTTTGTTGCTGCCTCCTGTACGATATTGCCAACCTCTGTCCATAGTTTTTCAGGCACTCTTCTCTCTGATCTAATCCCTTAAATCTATTCATCGCCTCCGCTTCATATTCATAAGGGATGTTGTTTAGGTCCTACCTATGTGGTCTGACGGTTTTCCCTACTTTCTTCAGTTTAAGTCTGAGTTTTGCAATGAGAAGCTCATGATCTGTCTCGTTCTGACTGACTGTATAGGGTGTCTCCACCTTTGGCTGCAAAGCATGTGACCAGCCTGATTTCAGTACTGGCCATCTGGTGATGTCCATGTATAGAGCCGCCTTTTGGGTTGTTGTATAAAAGAGTGTTTGCCATGACCAGCGAGTTATCTGGACCAAACTCTGTCAGTCTCTGCCCTGCTTCATTTTGTATCCAAGGCCAAACTTGGCTGTTATTCCAATTATCTTTTGCTTTCCTACTTTAGCATCCAATCCCTGACAATGAATGGGCCATCCATTTTTGGTGTTATTTCTAGAAGACGTTGTAGGTCTCCATAGGACTGATCGACTTTGGCTCTTCAGTATCAGACTTGGATTACCATGGTGTCACGTAGTTTGCCTTGGATTCGAACAGATAACATTCTGTCATTTTTGAGAGTACACCCAATACTGCTTTCATTGACTATGAGGGCTACTCCATTTCTTCTAAGGGATTCTTGCCCACAGTAGTATATGTGATAATCACCTGAATTAAATCCACCCATTCCTGTCCACTTAAGTTCCCTGACACCCAAGATGTCGACGTTTAATCTTTCTACCTCTTGTCTGACCTCATCCAGCTTGCCTTGGTTCAGAGATCTCACACTCCCAGTTCCCGTGCAACATTGATCTTTACAGCATCAGATTTGCCTCTCATCCCAGGACACATCTGCGGCTGAGCTTCCTTTGGGTTTTGGCCAGCTGCATCATTAGTGCCGGAGCTACTTGTGGTCATCCTCTGCTCTTCCCCAGGAGCGTATTGGACACCTTCTGAATGGATGCCATCATGGCGTCATTGAACGACACAATGTGACGAGTCCTCAAAGAAAAGGGAGTGCCAGATTGTCTTGTCTCCTGAGGAACCTGTATGTGGGTCAAGAAGCAACCATTAGAAATGAACACGGAATGACCGATTGGTTTGAGATTGGGAAAGGAGTAAGACAAGGCTGCATAGCGTCACCTTATTTAACTTACAAACAGAGGACATCATGTGAAATGCCAAAACCGAGGTTGCCGGGAGAAATATCTATAGTCTCAGCTATATGACGGGGAAGTAAGAAGCCTCGATGAGGGTGAAAGAGGAAAGAGTAAAGGCTGGCTTGAAGCTCAGCATGAGAAAACAAAACTAAGATCTTGGCAGCTGGTGCCATCGCTTCCTGGCCAACAGGCACAAGCTGATCACTCCTGATCTCATCGCCTCAGATGCCCGGCTCTTTCCCACTCCCCTCAGGCTCCTCTCCCCACTGAAGCCGTGCCCCCAGCTTTCCATTATAGAGGGCAGCATTTGGACTTTCCAGCTCATTCTACTCTCAATCTGCAGCTCTGCTGATTTCTAGCTCCACGCAACAAGACACACTTCAGCGCCTGTCTCCCTTGCCTCCCCTCCCCGTTTCCTTTTGTGTGTCGTCTTCCTCCATTAGATCATAAGCTTCTTGAAGGCAGGGGCTATCTCTCTTTCTCTCATTTGTATCCCTAGTGCCTAGCACAGGGTCTGAATGTGGTCATAGGACATCACTGGCCAGTCCCTGTATTGCGCCAGTAAACATTGACTAAATGCCTGCTGTGCGCCAGGCCTTGTGCTATGCGATTACATACCAGATTACTCGTTCCATTAATATTATAGTGGCTGGTCATGGTGGCAGCTCTAGCAGAAGTTGCAGAAGAATGTTTGCCCGAGGATAGCAGCATCCTCCAGGAACATGACCCTGGCAGCAGCGAAAGATGCTCCAGATGGGCTCTCAGAAGCCACAGATCCTAGAAGTCCAGCTGAGCCGTGAAGGCAGAAGAGGGCTGCACCTCACAGGAACGTCAGGGGAGTTCCATGAAGGAAGACAAGAAAGTTCAGAAAAGGAATCGGCATGTGTGTTCTCTACACAGACACCTCACTAACTGTGCTTCAGTTTGAGCCTCACTAGTGGCACAGTGGATAGAGTGCCGGGCCTGGAGTCAGGAAGACTCGTCTTCCTGTGTGACCCTGGACAAGTCACTTCACACTGTTTGCCTCAGTTTCCTCATCTGTCAAATGAGCTGGAGAAGGAAACGGCAAACCACTCCACTCCAGTATCTTTGCCAAGATAACCCCCAATGGGGTCACAAAGAATCAGACATGACTGAAAGGACTGAACAACAAATCTCCATGGATGTTGTGTATGTTTTTGAGAGAGTATGCTCCATATTTTGGGGAAATGTTTGGTACCAACTGTTCTAGCTCTGAATCTGGGAGCCTGATTCTTGCCATGCCCTTTTTAGTAAACACCTTTTAGGAGACGTTCATTAAATTTGGCCGGCTGATCATTAATGGGAAGCGCACTGGTGGGGGCCCATGAGGCACACCAAGGCAGATCCCCGGGCTTAGCCAGAGCCCTGAGAGGAGGAGGAGCTGCTTCTCTGGGGACCCAGCCTGCCAGTACCAGTGTGAATAGCCCAGAAGCTCATTATATTGGGCTGACCTGAAAAGGGCAGCCCAGGCCTATGACCATCCATCTGCAGGAGAATGGGAGGTCAGTGGGAGGAGCTCGTGGTACAGACCCCCTGCTGAGAAGGCCAGGGATCCGAGAAGCCTGTTTGTAGGGCACCAGGTCAGGGTCATGATGAACCTTAACCCGAGAGCTGAAGAAGTGCCTTTACAGGAGCACCCTGGCACTGGGATCCAATGACCCGGATTCAAATCCTGCCTCTGAGGCTCATTTCCTGTGTGCTGTTGGGCAAGTCACTTCCCCTGTCCTGTAAACTAAGGAGATTGGACCCAAGGGACGGAGGTCCCTTCCCATTC